ACGATTGACATCTCCAAGTATAGGGGAGTCGAAGAGGACTCCCTCTTGAGATGGTTCGTCGAATTGGATGACGCCATAAGGGCGCGTCGCATCGACGACGGGGATATGCAAGTTGCATTTGCCCAGTCAAATCTGGCAGGACGTGCCAAGACTTGGGCACTGGGGCTCAAGTTGCACGACCCATATGCGTTTGGGTCGTTAGAAGTCTTCAAGTCGCGGCTCAGACAAACGTTTGAACCGCCTAGAGCTGAGTTCAGAGCTCGAACCGAACTCTTGAAGCTCAAGCAGGGTAAGCGTGATGTGCACGCTTACGCGCAACATATACGACATCTTACGAGTTGTATAAGTTCCAATCCGGTGGATGAACACACGTTGGTTTCGGTGTTCATGCAGGGTCTTGCGGATGGTCCCGTCAAGACTCACCTGTTCCGGCTTGAACTAGATTCACTAGAACAAGCCATTTCCATTGCGGAGCAGGAAGACTTCAGTCTGAGACAGGCTCGCGCCAGCTCGACATCATATCGTCAACCGAGACGATATGACAACGGAGGTCCAGAGCCGATGGAACTCTGTTATGTAGAGAGCGAGGAGGCTCGCTCTACAGGCTACAAGAAGTTGCAGAGATGCAACAGATGTCAAAAGACAGGACACTACGCTTACGAGTGTAGTGCCCCTCGTCCAGTGTCTCGCGACACTGGGCGTAGTGACCGTCCACCCATGAGAAAGGGGCAGGGGACGAGGGTCCGCAGTTGGTGCAAAGACGCAACAACGGGATGGACCGTCAAAAAACGGACAGGGATCAGTAGGTGCGGAGCACCCTACTGGTCTAGCAACGTCAAGAGAATTTGTAGGCCTCTTGATGAAGGTTGCTCCCAACACACAAACGTTGTGCGTTGCTGCTCCAGGTAATGAGATCTCACTCATTACCTTGAAACTCGAAGTGACGAATAAGTTGTCCCTTCGAGCTCTAGTCGATTGTGGGGCGTCCAACAATTTTGTGCGACGCCAATCGCTAGAAGATGGTCACTTTAAGTTCAGTGAATGTGACACACCTCCTACGAGGATGACGGTACGTCTTGCGACAGGCGCATCCGTAATCAGTCATGAAGCGTATAGTGAAGATCCACTATACGCTAGAAGATACCCAATATGACGATGACTTTATCGTATTGGATTTGGATGACAAATTTGATGTCATCCTGGAATACCGTGGCTCAGAAGGTACGAACCACGGGTAAAACTGGCAACATCGAACAGTAACGATATCTGCCGCTTGTTCATCAGATGGCCATCTGATGAACGTTTTGGAGCGTCCACAAGCGTGTGGATGTACTACGAGTGAGTGCGATGGCCTCACTTGTGGTACGGTCGTTAGTACGACTGCACAAAACCTTAGTGTACCAAACGGTTACACTTCGGAGCAAAGTTCCGGCGGCTGTGAGGAAACACAGGCTGCGCCGAAGGTCCACCACTCGAATAAGTCGGGTGGACTGGGACAAAGATGTATCCCTAGCGGGGAACATCTAGAAGAGAAACAATCGATCGCTCAGGTTAAGCGAAACGATAATCCTAGATCGACTGGAGAGTCTTTCGTAGAGGATCTCGCTGAGGTTGCGCAACCACAGCTAGAGGAAGTAAAGGGAATAAGTCCCAAGATTACAAATACGGCGGAAATAAGTTCCCCGAAACCCGCGGGAATAAGTCCTCGGGAAGCCGAAGGAATAAGTCCTTCGAGGCCTGAGGGAATAAGTCCCCAGGAAATGACAGAGACATTGAATGTCATAGTCAATGACGGATCAAGTGTAGGCGCTTATACACTTGATCTGATTGCGCCTCCGAAGTTGACTTCGGAGATCACTCAGTTGCCAACGCTCGAACATAAAAGGTTCTTGCGTGATCTGCGTAGTGGCAAAGTCAAGCAGATCTGCATACTCGTCGCTGACGACGAGTGTGTAACCGACATAAGGTCAGCAACAGCGTTTACTGAGAACGAGAGAGTTCTCAGTAGTTCATCTATGGACGAGAGTGTCCTAGATGAAAAGACACGAATTGAGCGATATGACTCCCAATCATGGGAATCGCTCAAGACAAATCCTCTCTATGAAGATTTGGTTGAATTCAAGGATGTATTCCCTGAAACTGTTCCGTGCGAATTACCGAAGGATAAAGGTATTCGACACGAGGTCGAGCTTAAACCAGGCTCGAAGTACTGTGTCATGAAGCAGTGGCCACTGCCTCGTGAACAAGTACTTGCGATCGACAAGTTCTTTGCCGATCGTTTAGCTGCGGGCCATGTGAGGGAATCAACTTCCCCACATAGCTCTCCGACCTTCTGTGTGCGAAAAGCAACAGGAGGGTGGCGGATAGTGCATGCATTTAACAAGTTGAATGCTGCAACGGTACCGGCTGAGACGCCGATACCGAGGAAGGACGTAATCATTGATGGTATGTCAAAAAGTACCATCTTTTCGTCCATGGATTTGATGGATGGCTTCTATCAAATTCTTATGCGAGAACGGACATACCCTATACCGCAGTGAGCACGCCTAGCGGCATGCTCTGGGAACGGCTAGTAATGCCACAAGGGCTTAGTAATGCCCCTGCCACGTTCAACAGATGTGTATCACATCTGTTGAGACCAGTACGAGAATTTGCGCCGAGTGATTTCGATGACGTATTCATCCATAGTCGAGCTATGGATGGAAAGTCGGATGTCGAGGTTCACAGGTACCACGTCCGACAAGTTCTTACAATCATGCGAAAGCATCAATCGTATGCAAACCTCAAGAAGTGTATATTCGCAGCAAGCGAAATACCACTTCTTGGGTGCATCGTTGGTCAGAACAGTGTTCGTCCTGATCCCGAAAAGATCAAGGCGATCACCGACTGGCCCGTGCCGGTTGATGTCAAAGGTCTTCGAAAATTCCTTGGGCTAGCGGCGTATTTGCATAAGTATTCACGCAATTACGCCGAAATGACTGTGCACCTCTCTCGTTTGTTGAAAAAGAACGAGAGGTGGTTATGGAACGCTGAATGTCAGCGCTCATTAGAGGGTATCAAGCAGAGCTTGATAGAATCCCCAGTCCTAGCAATAGCCGATCAGGACAGGCCATTTCATGTGGTCTGTGATGCCAGCGATTTCGCAATCGACTGTGCATTAATGCAGTACGATCTTGAAGGCGTTGAACGCGTCGTCTGCTATCAGTCGCGTCAGCTGCAACCAGTTGAGCGGAACTATCCAGTGCATGACAAGGAACTCCTTGCCATGAAGTATGCACTCGCGAATTTCAGAGTCTATCTATTAGTAGATAGACCCTTCGTTGTTTACACTGACCATGCGTCATTACGCACGGCAGTGAACAGCCCGCACCTTTCACAACGAATGGCGCGGTGGTTGTCATTCTTTGCGGAATACAACTTTACGGTCGAGTACAAACCAGGACGACTTAATGTCGTCGCTGATGCACTCTCACGTCGTCCCGACTTTGAAACAGTCGCGAAACCCAACAGTGAGACAGTCACTGTTGCGGTTATGACGTCCTCAGTCCCATCTACAACGTTGTATGATAATGTGAGGCGGGCATACGCCCAAGATGGTGAGATTGTGAAGTTGTTGACACATCTCTCACAACCATCCCGAGAATTATTGAAGCGATTGTCGTCTGCGTATCGATCTGCATCAGTTCGATACACTACTCGTAACGGTTTACTGTATTATACAGCCGTTTCTGGTGACACACCACGTGTTGTCATTCCAGATGACACTGATCTGCGTTTGCGGATAATGTTCGAGTATCACGATGCTCCTATAGGAGGACATCGTGACCGTGAGAAAACCTATCTCACGGTGAGTCGAGACTTTTACTGGCCCCGCCAGTATCAGTTTGTGCGAAAGTATGTTCGCGCATGCGAAGTCTGTCAACGAGTGAAGTCAAGTCCTTCACTGCGTGCACCTTTACAGCCTCTACCGGTTCCGGCTGAGTGCTGGGAATCCATCTCAATGGATTTTGTCTTCGGGTTACCCAAAGACGCACGCGGGAATACGGGTATTCTCGTATTTGTTGACAGATTCAGCAAAATGGTACACCTTGTGGCTGTACCAGAGTCAATCACTGCAAGTGGCTGTGCTTGTGTCTTTATTGACACCATCTTCCGACTTCATGGGTTGCCCCGTGAACTCGTATCAGACAGAGATACACGCTTCACTGCTGATTTCTGGCGTTCCGTGTTCAAATCACTCGGAACGCGCTTGAAGATGTCTACATCTGATCATCCAGAGTCAGATGGTCAGACGGAACGTGCCAATCGTGTCCTTGAAGAGATGCTTCGATGATACGTACACTCCTTTAAGAATTGGAGTGAGTTTTTGACAATGGTAGAGTTTGCCATCAACAATTCGGTGCATGCGTCCACGACCCATACATCGTTTTACGTGAATGGCTTACGCCATCCGCGTGTACCCACCTTACTAGAGTGTAACTCTGGTTTAAGGGGGGGAGGGACTCGCGCGAGCAAAAACCTATTTGGTTCACGCTCATCACGCTCTGACGAAGAGGTCATTGCGTTTGATGCCGATATCGATAACATCGATATCGAAGAAAATGATGCCAGTGAGAGTGCAGAAGCCCTCACTGACGAAAAGATTGATGTTGCTGCAGTGCGCTCACAGCACACTGAAGCTAACGAGTCATTAGATGAGTTCATACTGGCTCGTGAAACGGTAGTCCGTTTTGTGCAAGACTCCATCGCCGAAGCGGTGGATAAGCAAAAGCAAAACGCTGACAAGAATGGAAGGGCAAACACTCTTTTATTTAATAAAGGTGACTTAGTCCTACTGTCTACGGTTAATCTACCAAAGCATGTAGTGACTAACTTGGGTAGCAATAAACTACTACCCAAGTACATTGGCCCATTTCGTGTATTGCACCGCCTAGGCAATGCATACACGATCGAGTTGCCAAGTAAGATGCGAACGCATCCCACGTTTTACGTTGGTCGGCTTAAGCCGTACCATCAGTACGCTGCTTCTTCCGGAGAAGAACGCCCTTGCGCTCAAGCATCTCACAGAGGGCCTTGTGCTCCCGATGGTGGGCATCGACAAGGGTCTGAAGAGCAGTTATCTCAGCCCGAGACCGATCAACAATCCCACGAGCTACCCTTAGCTCGTCACGAAGAGATGTCAGAGATCTCTCGTTCTCAAGCTTAGCAAAGGCAAACTCAGCTCGATGCTTCGAGACAGTGTCCGCCATTTGGAGACGCCTATTCCGCTCATGTTCGAGATCGTTGCGTAACCCTTGCGTTACGCGATCAAAGAAGCTCTCGGGAACACACGGATCCCCATGATCGTGTAGAGAGCGTCTTTCCTCCTCCTCCACCTCCATTAGAGGACTCTCGCGGTGGCCGGCGCTATCTGGTTGAGCAGCTGTTGAACCACCGCGACGTGAACGGACGTCGGACGAGTTATCTCGTCCGGTGGCGCGGATATCCCCCGTCCTGGGATACTTGGGAGCCCCGATCCCAACTGATGATCGACCTACTGGGTTTGGTTGAGCAGTACGACGCGGCACATCCTGTGCCGCAGAAGGACCGCCGGAGAAAGTCTTCCCGGCACGGTCGTAAAGGGATTTCAAGTTGTCAATCCCTTCGTACATCTCACTAGAGATACGTACGCGTCACCACGGGCTATTAGGGAGGTAAGCCTCCTTAGGTGCTCGTGCAGAGTTGTTCGCACAACATGGGCACGAGTCTCCCCATGAGAGGCAGGGTAATCCTTTCTCCCTTGACAGACGATGCAGCTTGTAGCGTGCACCTGTCGGGGTTCTCTTCTCAAACTTATCACGAGCTTTGACAAGTTTGTCGTTCCAAGCGTCACGACCTACATCCTCGAGGTTATGGATGTAGGCGTTCCACGCCTGAAGTAGTGAGGGACCATCACGTTTGTGATTCCCACTGTACCATCGATGTCTAAAGAAAGCATCGATGATGAATTCATGTTCAGCGCGATAGTTTTTCGCGCTGGGGTCAAGGTGATGGATCCTTGACGAATCGAACAATCGTGTTCGATAACGATCACTCGTCGTCGCCGACAAGTGATCCATGACTGATTTAGGAGGCATCCATGCCTTCTTCTCAGGAGCGAGACGCAAGACATTGCGGTCCCGCTCTTCCTGCGACGTGCCGACAGAAGTACTGGCACCTCGCTGTGAAGTGGTGTCCATAGGAGAACCGACACCACTGTTAGCGCCCGAGTCTCACGACCTCGAGCGCCTTCGCTTCGGCGATGGTTCATCTGATTCATCGGATGAACCAAAGATGCTGCGACGCAAAGCATCGTCCATGCCACGCTTGGCAGGCGGCTTGGATTCGATCGCCGTCGATACGGATCAGTCGTCCGTATCAGGAGAGTATGAGACACCGAGCTCATACTCTGTGAAGACATGAGTGTCTTCATGACCAGCGCCTGCATCACCAAGTGACACAGGCTGGGTCGCTTCAGCAACCGATGAGACATCAATTGCTTTGGTTTCTGCTTCGGCGTCCGCACAGAGACGTGCGGACGCGCTCTCGGCGGCCTTGCTCGCGCATCGCCTGGGCTTGTTAACCATGCGATGAAATGTTGGAAAGTGGACTCGGACCAACAAGTGCAAACCCCGTCCCAAATGATTTGGGACGAATATCCATTTAGTCAATCAGTCACTAAAGTGACTGATGGTAAAGGGGGGGTGATGTAACGGGGTGAATCGTTACAGAACAATTTATAAGAAATTGTTAATAGAATATAACTATAAGAGTTATATTCTGTAGCACTTACGAGTAGTTCCTGATTGGTTGATATAGGCCATTATATCAACCAACGAAGACGCGCCACGACAGACGCACGCAATGAGTGGTGAGCAGATAACTGATTTGCACATTTGTATTTAGACATTGTTACATGAAGATAAATAGTGATTTGTTGCAGACATTAACTATTATAAATACAGTTTTACTTTTTACTTTAACCAAGTACTCGCTTCTCCTTACCGTATTCCTCTGCACGTACGAGTGTATGTGAAGTTCCGAGGCACCGCCTTATTCTGTCATCAGAATAAGTAGCTTGTACGGTCATCATTACAAGCTTCAGAGTGCCCCGTTACACCTGGTAGCACTTCGTAGTCCGTCCACGACCACGTTCACATCCAACATGAACATGTTGGATGATGAAGATGACCAAAGCTTTCACGCTACGCGTGACGGCTACTCCCATTTGAGCGATGTCGAATGGGATGCGGTTGAACGGATGGGTTCAACCATGGGCATCCATGCTGTTAGCGTCATGCTAGAGGCTCTCAACAGAGATGCCCAACATGCTACTACCGCCAAGTTCATTCAAAACGAACTTGACGCTAAACGCGAGAAAGTAGCCTTGCTTCACCAACAAGGTTATCAACAATCAGAGTTGTTGAGAGAACAGGGTGCTCAATAGTTTGAACTGTTGAGACAGCAGCAGGCTGCTGCTGGTGGGTCGATGCACTCGCGTTGACCCGAGACATTGACGATTGACATCTCCAAGTATAGGGGAGTCGAAGAGGACTCCCTCTTGAGATGGTTCGTCGAATTGGATGACGCCATAAGGGCGCGTCGCATCGACGACGGGGAAATGCAAGTTGCATTTGCGCAATCAAATCTGGCAGGACGTGCCAAGACTTGGGCACTGGGGCTCAAGATGCACGACCCATATGCGTTTGGGTCGTTAGAAGTCTTCAAGTCGCGGCTCAGACAAACGTTTGAACCGCCTAGAGCTGAGTTCAGAGCTCGAACCGAACTCTTGAAGCTCAAGCAGGGTAAGCGTGATGTGCACGCTTACGCGCAACATATACGACATCTTACGAGTTGTATAAGTTCCAATCCGGTGGATGAACACACGTTGGTTTCGGTGTTCATGCAGGGTCTTGCGGATGGTCCCGTCAAGACTCACCTGTTCCGGCTTGAGCTAGATTCACTAGAACAAGCCATTTCCATTGCGGAGCAGGAAGACTTCAGTCTGAGACAGGCTCGCGCCAGCTCGACATCATATCGTCAACCGAGACGATATGACAACGGAGGTTCAGAGCCGATGGAACTCTGTTATGTAGAGAGCGAGAAGGCTCGCTCTACAGACTACAAGAAGTTGCAGAGATGCAACAGATGTCAAAAGACAGGACACTACGCTTACGAGTGTAGTGCCCCTCGTCCAGTGTCTCGCGACACTGGGCGTAGTGACCGTCCACCCATGAGAAAGGGGCAGGGACGAGGGTCCGCAGTTGGTGCAAAGACGCAACAACGGGATGGACCGTCAAAAAACGGACAGGATCAGTAGGTGCGGAGCACCCTACTGGTCTAGCAACGTCAAGAGAATTTGTAGGCCTCTTGATGAAGGTTGCTCCCAACACACAAACGTTGTGCGTTGCTGCTCCAGGTAATGAGATCTCACTCATTACCTTGAAACTCGAAGTGACGAATAAGTTGTCCCTTCGAGCTCTAGTCGATTGTGGGGCGTCCAACAATTTTGTGCGACGCCAATCGCTAGAAGATGGTCACTTTAAGTTCAGTGAATGTGACACACCTCCTACGAGGATGACGGTACGTCTTCCGACAGGCGCATCCGTAACCGTCATGAAGCGTATAGTGAAGATCCACTATACGCTAGAAGATACCCAATATGACGATGACTTTATCGTATTGGATTTGGATGACAAATTTGATGTCATCCTTGGAATACCGTGGCTCAGAAGGTACGAACCACGGGTAAACTGGCAACATCGAACAGTAACGATATCTGCCGCTTGTTGATCAGATGGCCATCTGATGAACGTTTTGGAGCGTCCACAAGCGTGTGGATGTACTACGAGTGAGTGCGATGGCCTCACTTGTGGTACGGTCGTTAGTACGACTGCACAAAACCTTAGTGTACCAAACGGTTACACTTCGGAGCAAAGTTCCGGCGGCTGTGAGGAAACACAGGCTGCGCCGAAGGTCCACCACTCGAATAAGTCGGGTGGACTGGGACAAAGATGTATCCCTAGCGGGGAACATCTAGAAGAGAAACAATCGATCGCTCAGGTTAAGCGAAAGGATAATCCTAGATCGACTGGAGAGGCTTTCGTAGAGGATCTCGCTGAGGTTGCGCAACCACAGCTAGAGGAAGTAAAGGGAATAAGTCCCAAGATTACAAATACGGCGGAAATAATTTCCCCGAAACCCGCGGGAATAAGTCCCCGGGAAGCCGAAGGAATAAGTCCTTCGATGCCTGAGGGAATAAGTCCCCAGGAAATGACAGAGACATTGAATGTCATAGTCAATGATGGATCAAGTGTAGGCGCTTATACACTTGATCTGATTGCGCCTCCGAAGTTAACTTCGGAGATCACTTAGTTGCCAACGCTCGAACATAAAAGGTTCTTGCGTGATCTGCGTAGTGGCAAAGTCAAGCAGATCTGCATACTCGTCGCTGACGACGAGTGTGTAACCGACATAAGGTCAGCAACAGCGTTTACTGAGAACGAGAGAGTTCTCAGTAGTTCATCTATGGACGAGAGTGTCCTAGATGAAAACACACGAATTGAACGATATGACTCCCAATCATGGGAATCGCTCAAGACAAATCCTCTCTATGAAGATTTGGTTGAATTCAAGGATGTATTCCCTGAAACTGTTCCGTGCGAATTACCGAAGGATAAAGGTATTCGACACGAGGTCGAGCTTAAACCAGGCTCGAAGTACTGTGTCATGAAGAAGTGGCCACTGCCTCGTGAACAAGTACTTGCGATCGACAAGTTCTTTGCCGATCGTTTTTGCAGTGGGCCATGTGAGGGAATCAACTTCCCCACATAGCTCTCCGACCTTCTGTGTGCGAAAAGCAACCGGAGGGTGGCGGATAGTGCATGCATTTAACAAGTTGAATGCTGCAACGGTACCGGCTCAGACGCCGATACCCAGGAAAGACGTAATCATTGATGGTATGTCAAAGAGTACCATCTTTTCGTCCATGTATCTGTTGGATGGATTCTATCAAATCCTTATGCGAGAACGGGATGTACCCTATACCGCAGTTAGCACGCCTAGCGGCATGCTCTGGGAACGGCTAGTAATGCCACAAGGGCTCAGTAATGCCCCTGCCACGTTCAACAGATGTGTATCACATCTGTTGAGACCAGTACGAGAATTTGCGCCGAGTGATTTCGATGACGTATTCATCCATAGTCGAGCTATGGATGGAAAGTCGGACGTTGAGGTTCACAGGTACCACGTCCGACAGGTTCTTACAATCATGCGAAAGCATCAATCGTATGCAAACCTCAAGAAGTGTATATTTGCAGCAAGCGAAATACCACTTCTTGGGTGCATCGTTGGTCAGAACAGTGTTCGTCCTGATCCCGAAAAGATCAAGGCGATCACCGACTGGCCCGTGCCGGTTGATGTCAAAGGTCTTCGAAAATTCCTTGGGCTAGCGGCGTATTTGCATAAGTATTCACGCAATTACGCCGAGATGACTGTGCACCTCTCTCGTTTGTTGAAAAAGAACGAGAGGTGGTTATGGAACGCTGAATGTCAACGCTCCTTTGATGGTATCAAGCAGAGCTTGATACAATCCCCAGTCCTAGCAATAGCCGATCAAGACAGGCCATTTCATGTGGTCTGTGATGCCAGCGATTTCGCAATCGACTGTGCATTAATGCAGTACGATCTTGAAGGCGTTGAACGCGTCGTCTGCTATCAGACGCGTCAGCTGCAACCAGCTGAGCGGAACTATCAAGTGCATGACAAGGAACTCCTTGCCATGAAGTATGCACTCGCGAATTTCAGAGTCTATCTATTAGTAGATAGACCCTTCGTTGTTTACACTGACCATGCGTCATTACGCACGGCAGTGAACAGCCCGCACCTTTCACAACGAATGGCGCGGTGGTTGTCATTCTTTGCGGAATACAACTTTACGGTCGAGTACAAACCAGGACGACTTAATGTCGTCGCTGATGCACTCTCACGTCGTCCCGACTTTGAAACAGTCGCGAAACCCAACAGTGAGACAGTCACTGTTGCGGTTATGACGTCCTCAGTCCCATCTACAACGTTGTATGATGATGTGAGGCGGGCATACGCCCAAGATGGTGAGATTGTGAAGTTGTTGACACATCTCTCACAACCATCCCGAGAATCATTGAAGCGATTGTCGTCTGCGTATCGATCTGCATCAGTTCGATACACTACTCGTAACGGTTTACTGTATTATACAGCCGTTTCTGGTGACACACCACGTGTTGTCATTCCAGATGACACTGATCTGCGTTTGCGGATCATGTTCGAGTATTACGATGCTCCTATAGGAGGACATCGTGACCGTGAGAAAACCTATCTCACGGTGAGTCGAGACTTTTACTGGCCCCGCCAGTATCAGTTTGTGCGAAAGTATGTTCGCGCATGCGAAGTCTGTCAACGAGTGAAGTCAAGTCCTTCACTGCGTGCACCTTTACAGCCTCTACCGGTTCCGGCTGAGTGCTGGGAATCCATCTCAATGGATTTTGTCTTCGGGTTACCCAAAGACGCACGCGGGAATACGGGTATTCTCGTATTTGTTGACAGATTCAGCAAAATGGTACACCTTGTGGCTGTACCAGAGACAATCACGGCAAGTGGCTGTGCTTGTGTCTTTATTGACACCATCTTCCGACTTCATGGGTTGCCCCGTGAACTCGTATCAGACAGAGATACACGCTTCACTGCTGATTTCTGGCGTTCCGTGTTCAAATCACTCGGAACGCGCTTGAAGATGTCTACATCTGATCATCCAGAGTCAGATGGTCAGACGGAACGTGCCAATCGTGTCCTTGAAGAGATGCTTCGATGATACGTACACTCCTTTAAGAATTGGAGTGAGTTTTTGCCAATGGTAGAGTTTGCCATCAACAATTCGGTGCATGCGTCCACGACACATACACCGTTTTACGTGAATGGCTTACGCCATCCGCGTGTACCCACCTTACTAGAGTGTAACTCTGGTTTAAGGGGGGGAGGGACTCGCGCGAGCAAAAACCGATTTGGTTCACGCTCATCACGCTCTGACGAGGAAGTCATTGCGTTTGATGCCGATATCGATAACATCGATATCGAAGAAGATGATGCCAGTGAGAGTGCGGAAGCCCTCACTGAAGAAGATGATCCCAGTGAGAGTGCGGAAGCCCTCACTGAAGAAAAGGTTGATGTTGCTGCAGTGCGCTCACAGCACACTGAAGCTAACGAGTCATCAGATGAGTTCATACTGCTCGTGAAACGGTAGTCCGTTTGGGCAAGACTCCATCGCCGAAGCGGTGGATAAGCAAAAGCAAAACGCCGACAAGAATGGAAGGGCAAACACTCTTTTATTTAATAAAGGTGACTTAATCCTACTGTCTACGGTTAATCTACCAAAGCATGTAGTGACTAACTTGGGTAGCAATAAACTACTACCCAAGTACATTGGCCCATTTCGTGTATTGCACCGCCTAGGCAATGCATACACGATCGAGTTACCACGTAAGATGCGAACGCATCCCACGTTTTACGTTGGTCGGCTTAAGCCGTACCATTAGTACGCTGCTTCTTCCAGAGAAGAACGCCCTTGCGCTCTAGCATCTCGCAGAGAGCCTTGTGCTCCCGATGGTGGGCATCGACAAGGGTCTGAAGAGCAGTTATCTCAGCCCGAGACCGATCAACAATCCCACGAGCTACCCTTAGCTCGTCACGAAGAGATGTCAGAGATCTCTCGTTCTCAAGCTGAGCAAAGGCAAACTCAGCTCGATGCTTCGAGACAGTGTCCGCCATTTGGAGACGCCTATTCCGCTCATGTTCGAGATCGTTGCGTAACCCTTGCGTTACGCGATCAAAGAAGCTCTCGGGAACACACGGATCCCCATGATCGTGTAGAGAGCGTCTTTCCTCCTCCTCCACCTCCATTAGAGGACTCTCGCGGGTGGCCGGCGCTATCTGGTTGAGCAGCTGTTGAACCACCGCGACGTGAACGGACGTCGGACGAGTTATCTCGTCCGGTGGCGCGGATATCCCCCGTCCTGGGATTCTTGGGAGCCCCGCTCCCAACTGATGGTTGACGTACTGGGTCTGGTTGAGCAGTACGACGCGGCACATCCTGTGCCGCAAAAGAACCGCCGGAGAAAGTCTTCCCGGCACGGTCGTAAAGGGATAACAGGTTGTCAATCCCTTCGTACATCTCAGTAGAGACACGTACGCGCCACCACGGGCTGGTAAGAAAGGTAATCCTCCTTAGGTGCTCGTGCAGAGTTGTTCACACAACATGGGCACGAGTCTCCCCATGAGAGGCAGGGTAATCCTTTCTCCCTTGACAGACGATGCAGCTTGTAGCGTGCACCTGTCGGGGTTCGCTTTTCAAACTTATCACGAGCTTTGATAAGTTTGTTGTTCCAAGCGTCACGACCTACATCCTCGAGGTTATGGATGTAGGCGTTCCACGCCTGAAGTAGTGAGGGACCATCACGTTTGTGATTCCCACTGTACCATCGATGTCTAAAGAAAGCATCGATGATGAATTCATGTTCAGCGCGATAGTTTTTCGCGCTGGGGTCAAGGTGATGGATCCTTGACGAATCGAACAATCGTGTTCGATAACGATCACTCGTCGTCGCCGACAAGTGATCCATGACTGATTTAGGAGGCATCCATGCCTTCTTCTCAGGAGCGAGACGCAACACATTGCGGTCCCGCTCTTCCTGCGACGTGCCGACAGAAGTACTGGCACCTCGCTGTGAAGTGGTGTCCATAGGAGAACCGACACCACTATTAGCGCCCGAGTCTCACGACCTCGAGCGCCTTCGTTGGCGATGGTTCATCTGATTCATCAGATGAACCAAAGATGCTGCGACGCAAAGCATCGTCCATGCCACGCTTGGCAGGCGGCTTAGATTCAATCGCCGTCGATACGGATCCGCCATCCGTATCAGGAGAGTACGAGACACCGAGCTCGTACTCTGTGAAGACACGAGTGTCTTCATGACCAGCGCCTGCATCACCAAGTGACACAGGCTGGGTCGCTTCAGCAACCGATGGGACATCAGTTGCTGTTGTTTCTGCTTCGGCGTCCGCACAGAGACGTGCAGACGCGCTCTCGGCGGCCTTGCTCGCGCATCGCCTGGGCTTGTTTACCATGCGATGAGATGTTGGAAAGTGGACGCGGACCAACAAGTGGAAACCCTGTCCCAAATGATTTGGGACGAGTATCCATTTAGTCAATCAGTCACTAAAGTGACTGATGGTTAAGGGGGGGTGATGTAACGGGGTGAATAGTTACATAACAATTTATAAGAAATTGTTAATAGAATATAACTATAAGAGTTATATTCTCAGAATATTGTCATAAGGACAAATATTCTATAGCACTTACGAGTAAGTCCTAATTGGTTGATATAGGCCATTATATCAACCAACGAAGACGCGCCACGACAGACGCACGCAATGAGTGGTGAGCAGATAGTTGATTTACACATTTGTATTTAGACATTGTTACATGAAGATAAATAGTGATTTGTTGCAGACATTAACTATTATAAACACAGTTCTACTTTTTACTTTAACCAAGTACTCGCTTCTTCTTACCGTCTTCCTCTGCACGTACGAGTGTACGTGAAGTTACGAGGCACCGCCTTATTCTGTCATCAGAATAAGTAGCTTGTACTGTCACCAGTACAAGCTTCAGGGTGCCCCGTTACAGAGTTCGTCCACAGAATCAAAGCTCTTCAGCGAGATGGTTGATGCCCATCACATGGCTTCTAACTAAGGTTGTCACAGGTCCAATATACTAGATGATCTGTGATAAATAGACATTCTTTTTTAAGAGGACAACAATGCAAGTTTGAATTTTTAGAGACCGTTAGTCCACTACTTCTTTAATGAGTGAGGAGGGGGCTCACCCTCAGCGAAATATGAAGGCCTATTAGTGGACATTCTTTATGTTTTTTCGTGATTTAATATAGCTTTTAATTTTTTCTTGAAGAAGACGTGGAATACTAAACAATGACTGGTTCTTTTAAGCACAGAACATATTTAATAGCTCAATACACAGGCATGCGTGTACTGCAAAATTCAGGTTAGTGAGATAAGACATGTGTGTACTCGACAAAAATATAGATTAGTGAGACTAAATAGAGGCCCCCCCCTGCGACTGAAATGCGATACTAATTAGCAAGGAAAAGGTGAGTTTTGACATGTGAGATACGTTAAAGGTGTCGTAGATAGGTGTAGGAGGTTGGATATAAGTAATACGAAACGTATGTTAATGTTAGTTAGGTCCTTAGTTCGACGATGCTACATCTAAGGCAATCAGTGTCAACTCTATGACATTGTTGACGAGCAATGAGTCGATTCCGTTGTCACACTTTATCTCGTGGTGAAATCTCTGTCATGTGGTAGGTGCACGACTACAATTGTTCAAGGTAGTCCTTTATTTCCTTTGCAAAACTTTTAGCTGCTCCATCTTCGTTGTTCTTGAGCATTCCCATGATACGTTCAAGTTCCGGAGGTTCGAATGTTCGCACCAGGTACTCCATCACAGTATTATACTCGACGTCACCCCCTTCCTGATGCGATTGGAGTACACGTCGCAGCTGTTGGTGAATCGAATTATCGGTAGACAATCTTTTAAAACTCTCCTTAGAGGCCAAAAGTTCTCCAAAAAACACATCTAGCGGATTCAGAATCCGAAAGTGATCGCCATACTCTCTGTCGCGGATGAAGGTCGCGCGTCCGTTGATAGTTTTAATTCCTTCCGCGAATTCCTCTGCAAGCGAAGATACGCCTAGTCTGCCGGTGGCCGCTCGGAGCTGGCGACCAGCAAGGACACCCATCTCGTCCTCATGGAGCGCACCGGCGTGGAGCAAAATCCCGTTGGATACAAAGACAATGATGCCAGGTAGCAGAACCGCGTGGACGAGGTGCATTGTTCTGAGGAAGGACTAGGGAGGTGATTCTTGGAAGGCGAATGCGGAAATGACAAGAAGTTCGGCCTATGAAAAACACAGTGCGTTGTTTGTCCAGCTTGCCGTCCGATCTCTGCATTGAACACGTGCTTGCCGTTGTTTAGTGTTTAACTATCGGAGGAAGGTGACCCGAACGTGCGGGTACTACGGTGTGTAGTTCCGCATGCATCCAGATACAATTCGGAGCTGTGCTAATTACCTATCCTGCTGACGCCTGGACGGCAGCTGCCCGAAGCCACCCTCGCTCATGTCTATAGACCGGCTTGCCCGGGTTAATGCCAGAATAGCATATGTAGCACTAAAAGAGCGAGAGGAGCCGACATCGCTCGATGGTCATAGACAGACTCTTCGCTCCGTGTAAATGCTGCGCTTCCAGTCAACGGTTGAAGGTACAGTCCTGGCCGCGCTGACGAGGAAACAAGCGACAGGGTCCGAGAGACTAGACGATTGTAGGCAGTTTGAGATACCCAGTTTATGCTCAACCGGCTTGCGGCATAGGGTCTAGAAGAGCTTCCATCTATTCCAAACGTGCACTTCAACTGCAGTTGTTTGCTACAATTGATATGGTTCGCAAGTGAACCGTTGAAGGTCATTACCACGACTTCATAGTGCACGTAAACTGCAAGAAACGGGGCTCGCGTGTATAGCTCGGCCGTGACACCGACGCAATAATGTTACTATCCTTCCCGCGCGTGCTGCACGTGCTTGCTGAAAAAACACCTTGCAAAACAGCATAAAAGTCCGATTTGAACCACGGTTTAACCTGTTGTTGCGTTGCCGTGTAAAAAAAGCCTTCTCAACAGTCTTTGCTACTGGGTAAAAAGATGACGCCCATTTACAAGGGTTCCGATCAAGACAGGTTCTACTACATTCAGAAGCCCGGTCTGGTTCCGCGCATGCATACGGATGATAGAACGTGCTTTGAATCCTCTTGTACTCGACGAGCTCAGTATCAGAAAACAAAAGCTGGAAAGGACGCAAGAACAACGCGTACCGATGATCTGCACCTGTCTGTAAATGGTGAGTACGAATTCAGTCTACGCCTGGTGGAGTGTCGTGTCTAGTCGATGCAGTATTTCGCTCAAAACATGTTGTATGGGATGACATCGACTTCATGCCCGCATGTCATTTGAAATTTTCACGATACTACAATGGGTGGACAGGCGCTACGAATTTTGTGGGTTCGTTGAACTGCATTGGCGAACTGTCTCTGATTGAGCAGTATCCACAGCCTAGAGAATATGCGTCATGATGCACATCACCATTGTCGCCATAAAGGAGCCGGACCAGGCGACACAACTCGAGGTCATGAGTCGCGTCACCTGGTCCGGCTTTCATTCAGATGGGCTCACTTCCGACTCTTTTGCCAAAAAGACGCGGACACCGCACCGGCTATCTAGCTGTCTCATTTTTTCCGCCATGACAATGGTCATGCGACTGGCTAGGCCGGTCTTTCGCCTTCACACCCTGTAAAATAGGGGAGCAAGCTCTGGAGCTCGCCTGATCTTCAGTCCACAGACCTGTATCAATTTTTTGCATATTCACGTACCTTGCGCTTAGTCAGGACTAGCTTTATCGTTCGAGCTATCCATAACGATTAACAACGAAGGGGGGGTGAATCGCTAGATCGTATTAAATATGACATGTAAGGAATCACAGCGCTTATTGCCGACACGTGCCAAGGAGGCGACACTACATTGCACTGAGTGTGGGCGGGAAGTCCCCTATAGTGGAGCTGAGATTAAAGGGGGGAGGCCATCTTGCTGCTGTGTGCGCTACGGGAGGCAGCGCTGCGTGCAAACCGGAAGGGGAGCAACAACCACGGCATCTCGAGGTGGAGGCCACGTCAGATCGACCGCCCTGCACCACGTACAAGTACCTGCTCTTGTACACCCGCCATCACACCCGCCATCAAGTCGCTGACCCGTTCGCCTAGCGCGAACTCCGGCCCATAAAGCGAACTCGCTATAAACGTGATGCTGTCCGGTGGACCCGGCTACGGCGGAATGTGCTAGGGACAAGTCAAGATGGCCAACCTCGGGACCGTTCGAAGTGGTATGAGACCTCAGGCGTCCTCTGCATGCTACGTGCACCCCCAGCTTGGTCGTTGGTCACTCGTGCCCTTCTCAGAGTGACCCCCCACCCCGTGAGGCCCGATGTATCGAGCCAGCAGAATGATCAAGAGAGGAGACGAACGATGTAGTCGTGGTAGACGACCAATAACCACCAGACACTAAAGACTAGTAATAAGTACTACAAATACACCGTCTAAATCTCTCTCACATTGCACTGAGTGCGACGTTCAAGGTACACCACGCGTTGATCACGTACACATGAGGTTCGAGACTAAATCGGACTCAGTACGATGATAATGGTACTCCTAGCGTTATTTGCAGACACACAGACAGACACGCACACAGGTAAGTACGATTTGAAAAGTTTGGCATTCGTCTTGCGCACAGTCACTAATAGCTCTACCCTTCGGGCTCACAATTATCTTTCACCTCACCCTCACCCTCTGCCGCTCCTGCTCCTGTCGCTCTATACGATGCTGTAAAGTAATCAAGGCTTGACCATCAGTGTCGTGTTCAGCTGTTTATGATGTATTAGTAAGCGCGTCGTCGTGTGCTGTTTGTAAGAACCTTAGCGCTACCAGTGTGTGGCGCGTAGTTTCACAAGAGGAGTAGGATAACATCAAGGCCGACGTCGTTTAGATGCTTCAAGCCGTAGCTATTCTACGGGCACGTGCGTATTTTTGATGTTTGGAGACAGCGGTTCACCATGTATCATATCTCTGGATGCCATTTCTGCACAGAACATTATAAACAACGCTAAGAGGTCGTAGGATGTTTTGATTAATGCAAGCGGCGTCCACCGCATAGCACTGAACGCTAGATCCAGCAGCATCAACTGTCATCAGTGACAACTGATCTACTTTTTGGCGGAGCAACAGGATCGGCGCCCTAACGATGGAACTCAAGTTCTCGCTTTCCACAGTGAATGGGTCTGTGGCCCGATGGAAAAGGTCAACGAAGTTGTACTCTAGCTGTAAATTCCCCCTAAACAGCAATGTTGTGGAGTGACTGGTGGCTTCTGAGATATAGCTCACGCGCCCACCGCAGTTTCTTATTTCAGGTACGAGAAACGTTCGGCTGACTTTGCATCCTCAGCATGTAACCTTCTCTCTCGTAGCTTTTGAACGAGTGGGATAGCAAAGCCTTAGGGGTCCACGATGACACGTTAATCCAGTTAGCACTATAGACATACACAACACGTGCTATAGCAGCAGGGAAGGTACGGCGTCGGTGTTTCAAAAGATTGTCCGTGTAGTTAGCGAATCTCTCGAGTTGGGACCGTTGGACACGCTCTCGGTGTGCACATGCCCTCGGCCTAACAACACTTTCGACCTAAATATATGAGAAAAGGCCAGTAAGAGGCAGTGTATGCAGTGCCAAATAAAGTTACGGACACATATTGGCTATTCGCTAGCAGTGTAATGGCTACAGCTTGTTGTCAGTGTAGTCTGCGAATGCTTTCGTGTTGTTCGATCCATGTCACACTTGAAGTACTTCGAAACTACCTCGGCCGCCGTACATATGGTGAAGACACTTCTATCGCACGCTCGAGTGCCACCCCGCAGCCTCTCCCATCATTGCACGGGTTGTCATATTATAAGCCGTAGTTGTAGCGGGGTGAATCGTTACATAACAATTTATAAGAAATTGTTATCAGATTATAACTATAAGAGTTATATTCTTAGAATATTGTCATTAGGACAAATATTCTGTAGCACTTACGAGTAGTTCCTAATTGGTTGATATAGGCCATTATATCAACCAACGAAGACGCGCCACGACAGACGCACGCAATGAGTGGTGAGCAGATAACTGATTTACACATTTGTATTTAGACATAGTTAGATGAAGATAAATAGTGATTTATTGCAGACATTAACTATTATAAATACAGTTCTACTTTTTACTCAAACCAAGTACTCGCTTCTTCTTACCGTCTTCCTCTGCACGTACCAGTGTACGTGAAGTTACGAGGCACCGCCTTATTCTGTCATCAGAATAAGCAGCTTGTACTGTCACCAGTACAAGCTTCAGGGTGCCCCGTTACACCTGGTAGCACTTTGTAGTCCGTCCAAGGACCGCGTTCACATCCAACATGAATATGTTGGATGATGAAGATGACCAAAGCTTTCACGCTACGCGTGACGGCTACTCCCATTTGAGCGATGTCGAATGGGATGCGGTTGAACGGATGGGTTCAACCATGGGCATCCATGCTGTTAGCGTCATGCTAGAGACTCTCAATAGAGATGCCCAACATGCTACTATCGCCAAGTTCATTCAAAATGAACTTGACGCTGAACGCGAGAAAGTAGCCTTGCTTCACCAACAAGGTTATCAACAAGCAGAGTTGTTGAGAGAACAGGGTGCTCAACAGTTTGAACTGTTGAGACAGCAGCAGGCTGCTGCTGGTGGGTCGATGCACTCGCGTTGACCCGAGACATTGACGATTGACATCTCCAAGTATAGGGGAGTCGAAGAGGACTCCCTCTTGAGATGGTTCGTCGAATTGGATGACGCCATAAGGGCGCGTCGCATCGACGACGGGGAAATGCAAGTTGCATTTGCCCAGTCAAATCTGGCAGGACGTGCCAAGACTTGGGCACTGGGGCTCAAGATGCACGACCCATATGCGTTTGGGTCGTTAGAAGTCTTCAAGTCGCGGCTCAGACAAACGTTTGAACCGCCTAGAGCTGAGTTCAGAGCTCGAACCGAACTCTTGAAGCTCAAGCAGGGTAAGCGTGATGTGCACGCTTACGCGCAACATATACGACATCTTACGAGTTGTATAAGTTCCAATCCGGTGGATGAACACACGTTGGTTTCGGTGTTCATGCAGGGTCTTGCGGATGGTCCCGTCCGACTCACCTGTTCCGACTTGAACTAGATTCACTAGAACAAGCCATTTCCATTGCGGAGCAGGAAGACTTCAGTCTGAGACAGGCTCGCGCCAGCTCGACATCATATCGTCAACCGAGACGATATGACAACGGAGGTCCAGAGCCGATGGAACTCTGGTATGTAGAGAGCGAGAAGGCTCGCTCTACAGGCTACAAGAAGTTGCAGAGATGCAACAGATGTCAAAAGACAGGACACTACGCTTACGAGTGTAGTGCCCCTCGTCCAGTGTCTCGCAACACTGGGCGTAGTGACCGTCCACCCATGAGAAAGGGGCAGGGACGAGGGTCCGCAGTTGGTGCAAAGACGCAACAACGGGATGGACCGTAAAAAAACGAACAGGATCAGTAGGTGCGGAGCACCCTACTGGTCCAGCAACGTCAAGAGAATTTGTGGGCCTCTTGATGAAGGTTGCTCCCAACACACAAACGTTGTGCGTTGCTGCTCTAGGTAATGCGATCTCACTCATTACCTTAAAACTCGAAGTGACGAATAAGTTGTCCCTTCGAGCTCTGGTCGATTGTGGGGCGTCCAACAATTTTGTGCAACGCCAATCGCTAGAAGATGGTCACTTTAAGTTCAGTGAATGTGACACACCTCCTACGAGGATGACGGTACGTCTTGCGACAGGCGCATCCGTAACCGTCATGAAGCGTATAGTGAAGATCCACTATACGCTAGAAGATACCCAATATGACAATGACTTTATCGTATCGGATTTGGATGACAAATTTGATGTCATCCTTGGAATACCGTGGCTCAGAAGGTACGAACCACGGGTAAACTGGCAACATCGAACAGTAACGATGCCTGCCGCTTGTATATCATATAGCCATCTGATGAACGTTTTGGAGCGTCCACAAGCGTGTGGATGTACTACGAGTGAGTGCGATGGCCTCACTTGTGGTACGGTCGTTAGTACGACTGCACAAAACCTTAGTGTACCAAACGGTTACACTTCGGAGCAAAGTTCCGGCGGCTGTGAGGAAACACAGGCTGCGCCGAAGGTCCACCACTCGAATAAGTCGAGAGTGGACCGGGACAAAGATGTATCCCTAGCGGGGAACATCTAGAAGAGAAACAATCGATCGCTCGGATTAAGCGAAACGATAATCCTAGATCGACTGGAGAGTCTTTCGTAGAGGATCTCGCTGTGGTTGCGCGACCACAGCTAGAGGAAGTAAAGGGAATAAGTCCCAAGATTACAAATAAGGCGGAAATAATTTCCCCGAAACCCGCGGGAATAAGTCCCCGGGAAGCCGAAGGAATAAGTCCTTCGAGGCCTGAGGGAATAAGTCCCCAGGAAATGACAGAGACATTGAATGTCATAGTCAATAACGGATCAAGTGTAGGCGCTTATACACTTGATCTGATTGCGCCTCCGAAGTTGACTTCGGAGATCACTCAGTTGCCAACGCTCGAACATAAAAGGTTCTTGCGTGATCTGCGTAGTGGCAAAGTCAAGCAGATCTGCATACTCGTCGCTGACGACGAGTGTGTATCCGACATAAGGTCAGCAACAGTGTTTACTGAGAACGAGAGAGTTCTCAGTAGTTCATCTATGGACGAGAGTGTCCTAGATGAAAAGACACGAATTGAGCGATATGACTTCCAATCGTGCTCAAGACAAATCCTCTCTATGAAGATTTGGTTGAATTCAAGGATGTATTCCCTGAAACTGTTCCGTGCGAATTACCGAAGGATAAAGGTATTCGACACGAGGTCGAGCTTAAACCAGGCTCGAATTACTGTGTCATGAAGAAGTGGCCACTGCCTCGTGAACAAGTACTTGCGATCGACAAGTTCTTTGGCGATCGTTTTTTGCAGTGGGCCATGTGAGGGAATCAACTTCCCCACATAGCTCTCCGACCTTCTGTGTGCGAAAAGCAACAGGAGAGTTGCGGATAGTGCATGCATTTAACAAGTTGAATGCTGCAACGGTACCGGCTCAGACGCCGATACCCAGGAAAGACGTAATCATTGATGGTATGTCAAAGAGTACCATCTTTTCGTCCATGTATCTGTTGGATGGATTCTATCAAATCCTTATGCGAGAACGGGATGTACCCTATACCGCAGTTAGCACGCCTAGCGGCATGCTCTGGGAATGGCTAGTAATGCCACAAGGGCTCAGTAATGCCCCTGCCACGTTCAACAGATGTGTATCACATCTGTTGAGACCAGTACGAGAATTCGCGCCGAGTGATTTCGATGACGTATTCATCCATAGTCGGGCTATGGATGGAAAGTCGGATGTTGAGGTTCACAGGTACCACGTCCGACAGGTTCTTACAATCATGCGAAAGCATCAATCGTATGCAAACCTCAAGAAGTGTATATTTGCAGCAAGCGAAATACCACTTTTGGGTGCATCGTTGGTAAGAACAGTGTACGTCCTGATCCCGAAAAGATCAAGGCGATCACCGACTGGCCCGTGCCGGTTGATGCCAAAGGTCTTCGAAAATTCCTTGGGCTAGCGGCGTATTTGCATAAGTATTCACGCAATTACGCCGAGATGACTGTGCACCTCTCTCGTTTGTTGAAAAAGAACGAGAGGTGGTTATGGAACGCTGAATGTCAACGCTCCTTTGATGGTATCAAGCAGAGCTTGATACAATCCCCAGTCCTAGCAATAGCCGATCAAGACAGGCCATTTCATGTGGTCTGTGATGCCAGCGATTTCGCAATCGACTGTGCATTAATGCAGTACGATCTTGAAGGCGTTGAACGCGTCGTCTGCTATCAGTCGCGTCAGCTGCAACCAGCTGAGCGGAACTATCCAGTGCATGACAAGGAACTCCTTGCCATGAAGTATGCACTCGCGAAGTTCAGAGTCTATCTATTAGGAGATAGACCCTTCATTGTTTACACTGACCATGCGTCATTACGCACGGCAGTGAACAGCCCGCACCTTTCACATCGAATGGCGCGGTGGTTGTCATTCTTTGCAGAATACAACTTTACGGTCGAGTACAAACCAGGACGACTTAATGTCGTCGCTGATGCACTCTCACGTCGTCCCGACTTTGAACCAGTCGTGAAACCCAACAGTGAGACAGTCACTGTTGCGGTTCTGACGTCCTCAGTGCCATCTTCAACGTTGTATGATAATGTAAGGCGGGCATACGCCCAAGATGGTGAGATTGTGAAGTTGTTGGCACATCTCTCCCAACCATCCCGAGAATCGTTGAAACGATTGTCGCCTGCGTATCAATCTGCATCAGATCGATACACTACTCGCAACGGTTTACTGTATTATACAGCCGTTACTGGTGACACATCACATGTTGTCATTCCAGATGATACTGATCTGCGTTTGCGGATCATGTTCGAGTATCACGATGCTCCAATAGGAGGACATCGTGGCCGTGAGAAAACCTATCTCACAGTGAGTCGAGACTTTTACTGGCCCCGCCAGTATCAGTTTGTGCGAAAGTATGTTCGCGCATGCGAAGTCTGTCAAAGAGTGAAGTCAAGTCCTTCACTGCGTGCACCTTTACAGCCTCTACCAGTTCCGGCAGAGTGCTGTCAATCCATCTCAATGGATTTCGTCTTCGGGTTACCCAAAGACGCACGCGGGAATACGGGTATTCTCGTATTTGTTGACAGATTCAGCAAAATGGTACACCTTGTGGCTGTACCAGAGTCAATCACTGCAAGTGGCTGTGCTTGTGTCTTTATTGACACCATCTTCCGACTTCATGGGTTGCCCCGTGAACTCGTATCAGACAGAGATACACGCTTCACTGCTGATTTCTGGCGTTCCGTGTTCAAATCACTCGGAACGCGCTTGAAGATGTCTACATCTGATCATCCAGAGTCAGATGGTCAGACGGAACGTGCCAATCGTGTCCTTGAAGAGATGCTTCGATGATACGTACACTCCTTTAAGAATTGGAGTGAGTTTTTGACAATGGTAGAGTTTGCCATATACAACTCGGTGCATGCGTCCACGACCCATACATCGTTTTACGTGAATGGCTTACGCCATCCGCGTGTACCCACCTTACTAGAGTGTAACTCTGGTTTAAGGGGGGGAGGGACTCGCGCGAGCAAAAACCTATTTGGTTCACGCTCATCACGCTCTGACGAAGAGGTCATTGCGTTTGATGCCGATATCGATAACATCGATATCGAAGAAAATGATGCCAGTGAGAGTGCAGAAGTCCTCACTGACGAAAAGATTGATGTTGCTGCAGTGCGCTCACAGCACACTGAAGCTAACGAGTCATCAGATGAGTTCATACTGGCTCGTGAAACGGTAGTCCGTTTTGTGCAAGACTCCATCGCCGAAGCGGTGGATAAGCAAAAGCAAAACGCTGACAAGAATGGAAGGGCAAACACTCTTTTATTTAATAAAGGTGACTTAGTCCTACTGTCTACGGTTAATCTACCAAAGCATGTAGTGACTAACTTGGGTAGCAATAAACTACTACCCAAGTACATTGGCCCATTTCGTGTATTGCACCGCCTAGGCAATGCATACACGATCGAGTTACCACGTAAGATGCGAACGCATCCCACGTTTTACATTGG